TATCTCTGTCATGAATGCATATTGAAAAGTTACCAGCTCACAGTTTTCCCTTTTTCAAGCCGCGTCTTTATCCAGCTGAGGCCGGCTGATGACATCACCAGTAATCACCGGCCGGCGGAAATAAAAATGGCTGATGGCGGAGGAAAGGAAGAGGGGAGAATGGACCCGAGGAGCACATGGCCACGGGACCCATGCCTGGAATCCCTCAGGGAGGAAGGAGCACCAGACAAGGAGCCAGAGGAGGCTCCTTACGCTGGTCTGGGCAGGGGCGGCAGGGAATGGCTCAACAGTGCAGGAGACGAGCCAGAAGCAGCCCCTGCAATCAGCAAAGGCAGCAGCAACAGGAGAAGCAGAGAAGGGCACATGAAGACCCAACACCATAGCAGGTGGGAGTATTGGGAACAGTTGGGAGGAGGAGGAATCTTTCTCGTTGGGAGATTCCCGACAGAAGCAGCAGGAAGGGCTATGGAGAAGCAGGGCACCTACCTTTAATACAGAAAGTAGCCTGCCATACTCAGAGGAACCACGAGGCACCCAGATTGGGACGCTCCAGAAGGGAGAGAAGTGGTGCAACACTGGGCTCTGGGAAGAAGCAGAAAAGGGGGAAAAGACAACCCGAGCAGGAGGCCACGGGTACACGGCCCCGAGTAGGAGTCATCCCCTAGCTTAACCATAGGGAACTAGGCATCCAGTACCCTGAGGTAAGGGACCAGAGAAGGGGGCTACTCAGATTCCCAGCGATACGGTAAACGTGTTGTTTTGTATTTTTCTTTTGTGTTTCCCCATGTGAAGGCGCTGAGAGATAGGAGTGGCCGATACAAATAGAATAATTGGTGCAGGGTCCGTAGGGCATCGCAGTGGGATTAAGTCCATAGGGAAGGAGTCCACTCCAGGGAGAGAACAAATTCCACGATTGGGACCTCCAAACACAGACAACTCGGGACGGGGTAAACGAGTCGGCCTCAAGAGCTGATACCCAGGACAGGAAGGGACTCGAGAGGCCCCACAGCTATATGAGAAGGGGAGCATGGCCAAGAAGACTGAGCGATCCATCAAGGTGGCGTAAGGTCGGGGTGTAGGGACGGCCTAGCCTCGCAAGTGACCGTTGGGCAGACCGCGTGCCACAGAGGGACCCTGGGTAGTCAACCCTTCACTGGGAAACATTCAAAGTCATGGCAGGCAAGATAGGGGAGACTACTCCGGGAGTGAACATCTACTCGGCAATTTACAGGAGTCTGCACAGTGTACACGTCCCATTGCTCGAATCAAGGCTGCACATGACTGGGTGTTCAAGCCCCAGCGGTCATATGGGTTATATTGTTACCTCCAAATTTGGGAATTTTTTATCACAGAAACCAGGATCTCTGTAGATTACAGACTCTATATGAGTCTGAGGTGTGACAGCTGCACAAAAAGTGAATGCAGTTTTGTGATGCATCAATAAAAGGATTAGGTGCATAGTGGTTAGGCCTCATCTAGAGCAGTGGCTCTAAAACTTTTTGTAGCAGGACCCATTTGTAAACATCAATAGCCAGCCCTGCCCCAGTGCCCCTCACTATTAACCTACTGACCCCCGCCCCCAGGCCCCAGCCCGTCCAGTGTGTGGGGCATGGGGGGGAGGGGGGGCCTGAAGCAGCCCCTTCAAGGCTGGAACTCTGACAGGTTTAAACTGGGTATCAGGGGGGAAAAAACAGCTGTCAAAAGAATAAGACAGTGGAGTAGACTTCCTAGGGATGTTGTGGACTGTCCATCATGTGAGGTGTTCAAAAAAAGATTGGACAGCCCAGGGTCAAAAATTATCTAGGTATAACTATGTCTCTACTATACTCTACTACGGGTATTTCCCATGCTTCTGGGCAGTACCGATTGCAGCATGGGGCTGGAAGGGAATTGCCATCCTCTCCACCCCTGACCCTTCCTGCTACATCTGTCTGTTGTTTTTTTAAGTCTTCCTGACAGGCACTGGGTGATGGCTTCAGCCAAGGCTGGGCATTTTGACTGGGGTGCACCAAGCCTCCTGGTGGGACTTAAATCCAGAGGTTCATAGCTAGAGGGTGTTGCCCCTTCACTCAGAGTCAGACCAATTGCTATATTTGGGGTCAGGAAGGAATTTTACCCTATGGTCAGACTGGTATGGACTGTGGGGGATTTGGTCCTCTTCCTGTGACCTCCCGAGTATGTATTAACACCTTGTACAGCAGCAGGACACTGGCCACCATGGTCTACTGTGGAAGGTTGGAGTGTTATGTCTTGTGTCAGGGTTGAACGCATAGTTTTGCTAAGAAGTTAGAGAATGGATTTGTATGGCATGCTCTGTATAGAGATGACCCTGCCTCAGGCTGGAGGTTAGACTAGATGCTTTATGGAGGTCCCTTCTTTATGTTTTATGACAGGACAGGGAGAGAATGAAGCAACACAGGAGGTAGCAACCAATGAGGTAACAAATAGAGGAGGACATCAGCTGCACTACACTGGGCCAGTATTGTAGAAGAGGTTTTTTGCCAAATAGCTAGCAAGAGGCATATATTTTTGCATGTGGATTTGAGGATTGGTTTCTAGCTTAAAAACTTGCATATAGTCTTGGGACAGACCGCTTCAAAAAAATCAGAAGAAAATTAGACCCTTGAAAATTTATTGTATTAAAGCACTGTATATTTAAGTAAATCTCATGATTTTCATAAGTGTGTCTCAATTTTTGAACATGCAGAGTAGCCTACCCTAAAGAAATGTAAATTTACTAAGCAATCTAGGAGACAAATGCTTGTTACACAGAAGAGAGTTTAGTCAAACCAAGGTGACTTCAACTACCTGCCCTACAGGGCTACCTCTTGACGGTTGCTTCTCTGCTTTTGGTCAACCACCAGGAAGACTGTGATACACTTTTGATGCTTCAATGTCTTCTGGTTCAGAACCCACCTCACTTTCCTCTTTTATGAAAATCAGAAGATCATCCCCTTTAATTGAAGCCAGCCCTCCATTAATAAGACTAAACATGACAATGCCAAATTCACACTAGGAAAAAAGGCCATCCTTCATGATACATGGCTTCTATCTGCTCATGGCCTTATCAGCATTTCCTTCCTGTTCTCAAGTGTAAACAGAATGAAGGAGGAGGGAGAGAGGAGCAGAAATCAGGTTGCTTTCCAGTTTCGGTACAAGACTGAGGATTTAACGGCCAGTGAGAATCTCTGAGCCCACGTTAGAATGATTACAAGGATGATCAACTGACACCAATCAAAAAGCATCAGCAACAGGACAAATGCAGGCTGCAGAGGATGGCACCAAGTCCTCACGAAGACATCAGTTGCAAGTAGGATTAGAGTTTGTGTAAAGAAGGAGGGATAGAAATATAGTTTTCTGTGGAAGAGAAAAGATTGCAGCTGTAAGTTAATTTCCCTTGGTGGTTTGAGCTGGTTGAACTCCAACTTCCAAAAAACCTGAGGGTACAACCCCAATTTCAAATGAACCCTGCAGTTTGGATGAGAGGGATTATTTTATCATTTCACCACTGAAGACTAAATTCTGCTGGGCTTGCACAGCTATAATCATAAGGCAAGAGAGCAGCAGCAGGTGGGTTATACAAATAAATAATAACCGACCAGTAGCAGGATATCCAGGAGCAAACAAAGCCATCTTTTCATTTTAAGAAATCCTCCCCCAAATTTCAGTATTTATTATCTAATATCCTCATGCCATTTATCCTCCTGGCAGCTCTCATAACTATCAAGTAAGCTGTTCTGCAGATTAGCATTTTCAACAAACAAGAATGCCAGTAGATAAGATGGGGCAGACTCTCTGGATATTCTGTAAGACTAACTCAAATGTCACTGTAGAACAGAAGTCATAAGTGGTTCCCTAACACAATAATCTTTTGGTATCTTATTTAAGTTAGAAAGTTTAGGTTAGCAAGGGAAGTTTACGCTAGAATTAGGAAAAACTCTCTGACTAGGAGGATAATAAAGCAGTGGAACAAACTACCCAGATTGGTTATGGGATCTCCATCCTTAGAGGTTTTTAAGACGCAGCTAGATAAAGCCTTGACTGGAGTGATATAGTTCAGAATGGTCCTGCTTTGAGCAGGGTGTTGGACTAGATGACCTCCTAAGGTCCCTTCCAACTCTCATTTTCTATGGCTCTATGATTTTTGTAAACTGAACTAATATAATTAAATCAAACAATCTTAAGGACAAGTGATTACAGCTCGCAATTATAGGAGCACTGGAGGACATCAGGAAAAAAGCACAGAACAACTTGCACCAGGGATATAAGAAAATTTTCAGACGAAGAGAACTATTTTAATTTTTTGCATCAATCCAGCTAATGGAGCAGGTAGCAGTATCATTTTGTACAAGGAGAAAAAAAGCATTCATACACTTACCAAAAAAAAAGGAGAACCAGAAATGGGGACAGGGGTAAACTAAAATTCAATCTGACAGAAACTGGGCAAGGCTGTAGGTTATACATAAACCCTCAAAACAGAACCATTTTCCTTCCTGTTTTGCTTAAAGAAGCTTGTCTTGTCTTTTCCAAGAATGTTTAGACAGATACTGAAGGTTATCAGGAGATATACAGAGTCTGTGGAAGAAGCATATAATGCAAGTTGTGCAAAAAGGAGAGCGATGGCATTGCATACTATAATGCAGCATACAAATATCTTCCAAACTAGTCACTTGAATAAAAAGTGTTAGAAATCATTAAAAATGGAACAAAATTATTTAAGTATTTAAAAGAGATTGGAGCAAAAGTGTGCAATAAAATTCATTATTACAACATATAAAAAAGTGCATGCCTAAAATGCCACCTTGTACCAAGCACCCCAATCACAATTAACAGAGAAACTGAAAATAGAGCGTAATAAAAGCAATTTACTCAATCCTTTTGTATTATACCTAGACATAGAAAAATGCATAACACAAAATGCTACATTCTAGTTACTAAGGGTCACCTAATATGAGACAAAAGCAAATTCAAAGGGGAATGATGATTGAATAGTATCATACCTGTTGAACAATTGTGGTTAATTCCAGACAGAGCTGTATGACATTATTTCTTGTTACTGAATAGTCTGTCACAGCAGCAAAAGGTGATCTAAAAAACGGAAAAAAAAAAAGAATGGTGAAGGGGGATGGTGGGTTTTTTTCCCTTCTGATTCATTGGCACAAAATGCACTGAATTCACAGACTTCTTTAATAGTACTTTTTACCTGTGCTGAATAATACATCAGAAATATCTAAAAGTTATTGTTACCACTGTAATTTATGGAATATGATTACAAAAAAAGGCTACTTCAACTCTTGTTTTCTCAGGACTTTTGAAATCATTCTGAGAGAAGTTCTATTTATAAAGGTATCTTTTTTCCCTCAACCCTAAAAGCTTGCATCTGAAACTTTCTTTACTTCTTTGAACAATGCCTAGATTCCTTTTAAGGCGGTCTTAGTATGCATGACCTTACTGGGAAAAGCAAAGCATCGCTTGCACAGCTAGTACGCAGGTGTGAATCAAATCTTTAATACGTCAGGCTGATTCACTCAGACTCTTGGGACCTGATCTGAAGTCAGTTAAAGTATTCTGCACCAGGCCCTTTGTTCTGCTTCTAACATTTACAATGAGAACACTTCTTGAAAAGCTGATGTAAAGATTGAACTAGAGCCATATTTGAGTATTTCCTGAGGTTTTGCTACAATGCAAAAGCTAAGTAACGGCAATTCATTTTATTCAGAATTTTAAAAAAAGTCACCCATACACATTCTGGGTCGCACCCCCGCTTCCCCTTTAAGTTACATATATACAAGGTGTTTACAGTATTTTTTTTTCCTTTTTTACAGTTCCTGAAACATCATTCATTTACATTTGTTTGGTCACAACAGACACTCAACCTTCTCTATTGAAGACCTATGAATAAATATAGACCACTGTAAAACTAAATGATTGCAACACTTTCAGCATAGTACTCAGTCTCTCTTCCATTAAAAAATGGCTATATACTTTGGCAAGAGTGGCGATTTCTGCAGAAGTGCAATTTTTTAACAGTATCAGCATTTCAAGAAAGTTTTTAGGCACCAGTTTTAGTGAGGTGGCACCATTCTGTCATATGCCTTAGTTCAGCCAAAGTTGAATGGAAAAAAGTTAAAAGGAACATAACAATTAGGATATTTGAAGAGATTACGGCCAGATACAAACATTACACTTTTACCAATATAAGTGATCAGAAGCCAATCTATACCCAGAACAGAACAGAAGTTAGGGATGCATAGCCTGGTTTAAAAGTGGTGGAACCCAGGCTAAGATTTGAGCCCCCTGCCCACCAAAGGGTGAGCATGTGTTCTATTTGCTGCCAGTCTAAATTATGCTGCTTACAGAAAACTGCATAACTTAGATAGATTCCACCTCAGGCTTTTTGAATGTCTGTACCTAACCCAAAAACATGACACAGGACTTGTGCAATTATTAATCAAAGCATATTTCAAAGGAGGTACAACATTCTCTCTTCATCCTCACTTCCAAACTCAGCATATATTTTTCCTTGAGAAAAAAGTATTGACCCCATTTTGAATTCAGTCTGTTTGTTCCTTGAAGTATGAGTCCTGATAGCATTTCATTTTCATTTTTGTTTAATTTTTTAAAAATGCACTTTATGTGCTTATTTTACATGCCTGCATACATACAGTATAAGAAACACTGAATAAACAAATCTATGATGCAACATGGTGAGTAGTATTGGTATTCATTTGGATAAGTTCAATAGTATACTCGTGGGAGTAATACCTTAACAAATGCCAATAAAATCTTGTCATCATGTATGCACTATGTACCAAACATGTTATAGAAAAGCTATTTTACAACTTCTTTAGAGTAAGCTTTACAACTCTGCTTGTTAAAATCATCACCTCTTCAAAAAATAAAGCCAATCTGCCAGTGTAAAAAACCAATAGAGATTTCAGTCAGAAAAATCTCAAGTATATTTTAGATGCTACATATAGGTTTCTGCATTTTATTTTCCCACATTCAGTATTTTTCCAATATCTATATCAGCTATCCTGTAACGTATCTACTGGTGAACATAGGATGTTTTCCCTATAGAAAACCAGCATCTTCCTCCTCTTCCTAGAACTTTTTAATGCTCCCCGACGGCTCACAAGACCTAACTAATCTTAAACACACCAGAACTGGATACATACTTCAGTTTAATATAACATTTGGGGAGAACATTCCATTTTTTTAGATAGAAATGAACTCCTTCAGCAGTTTGTTTTTTTTAATATTAAATTATGGGCTGTTGGGAGCTGGGAAGAGGCTACAAAAACTAGTATCAGGCTGGTAGTGAGGAATCAGTGGATTGAATAGTATGGTCAAAGTAATATGTCACATGGCTATAAACACATTTAAGTATGGTTTTTAATGCAGCCTATGGCATTTGTGTAGTTTACTAAGCTAATTTACAAAACACGCTGGAAGGAAAACAGTAAAATGAAACTTTAAAATTATCATATGATAAAAACTGGATGGAACTGCTTGATTAGGAACACTGCCCTGTAAACAAAACTAGAGAAATAATTCCCATTCACAGTTGCCACTGTTGAGATTCTAAATTTTTTCTAATGCCTTGATTTAAAAATTCATATTCATTTATGAACTTTCACCTTTATTTTTAAATGAATTAGATCAAATCAAGAAACAGCATACATTTTACTTTAAGTATGGATATTAAAACAGTTAAATCTTTAAATTTCACAGCCAGAACTAGATGAATCTTCAAAGCCTTTAATATTTTCAAAGCAACATTTTGTGGTAGGTTCTTGCTTTTAATATGCATTGATTTTTCAGTCATAACTTTACTATGTAGCTTTATTACATAGTTCATAAGGAAAATCATTAAAAACTACTGGTAAAAGTCTTCAATGAAAAATGTTAAAAAAATTGAACTAAATTTTGCTGAATACAAGACAACCCCCAACCCAATCAGCATTGGGAAAAAAGGCCCTCATCTTATCATTACATACAATGAAATCTCACTAAAAATACTGTGTAACGTTAAACTGCTGCTAAAAGCAGCATGTGCTCAGTAATAGGAAACCAACTATGAAGTTGATTAAATACAACCAACACTGAGCATGACTATGGTAGTGTCAATTGAGCACAATCCCCCTCAGCACTGATTTCTTTCTAAGTCATGGTGAGCCACTACATTGCATAAATTGTCACTTCCTCTTCACTACCGCAGCTGAGCTGTGCTGTCCATTCCCATTTCCAATGATTCCTGTTTCTTCACCAACCTTCAATACCTAGCAAACATCACCAAATAGGGTCCCAAACAGTTCATGCATAATCCCTTTCGCCCACTCTCACAGCCGGTCACATATGATTAGCGTGGCCCTGCCCACCATGAACTGGAGCTGGACCAGCCCCGTGCCTCATCTGCATATAATTTTTTGGAGGATCCCAGGACTCATGACAAGAACACCTGGTTCCAGCCATGAGAGAGGGGCTAATTAATAGATGAATCCTTTGTGGGGGGTATCTGGTATACACACACACTGAGCACTGCTGAGCTGAGAAGTCACCATGGCTTGAAATATTGTTGACCCTGCTGGGGTCCAGTCCAATGAATTATATGGCAAACCATGAGCCTTTTTGTTTCAGATTAATATCATGCATAGTTTGTACTGTGTACAAACACAACAGTGCTACTTAAAAGTGTGTTTTATGGAATACCTATGCTAAAATTTGCAGCAGTTTCAAAAAAGGTAAAATGCAACAATCCTAGATTAACTAAGTCTATGGGTACCTGCAGTAATTTGCCTATACAGTTTAATTCAAGGTCAGTTCTTTCAAATTTGCCCCTCACTTCCATGTCCTCAGGGAAAGTAAGGACGGGGTAAGGGGAGAGGAGGGACTGCAGGGAGAAGAAGGCTGGGAGGTAAAGGAGGTACCTGATTTATTTTCCCTGCTTGTAGTAGTGGGAGGGGGACAAACTCAAGGCAAACTTCCAATAATTTTCCATATAAAGAAACTAAGTATTGGGGGGAGAGGGCTGTGTTGTATTCATGGTTGTCTTATTTTTGAGTGAATACAGTAAAGAAGAAGAAAGGGGACTGAAATATGAAAGTTTGAACTGAAAATGGGGGCGAAAACCAAAACAAAAATGAATAAATAAATGCTGAAAATACAAAATAAGATACCAAGAGTGATGGTTAAGGTTTGGTATTTTGGTACGGAGAAATAGTCTAAGGAATTATTTCCTTCCAGGAAAGGAAATCAAATTGTTAGGAGGTGCTTAGAAGTGGTGTTAGGAGGTGCAAAGTGTTAGGAGGTGCTGAGTGACTTAGAAGACTAAATGACAGTTCAAAAGTCAGGTTTCAATAAGCCTTACTACCCTAAATATTTAAATGTCTGCAAATATTTCATATGTTCAACACATAAATCAAAGACCGGATTTCATAATGGCTACAAACTGAAATTTCAGTTTGACAAATAAAAATCCTGTTTTAATTAATAAACACACATTTTCAGGTACATATCCTACACTTATATTAAAACCATCAGGTTGTTTACACGTAAATCATACCCAATGTAAATAAAATCCTTGAGAATCTTGGTAACTTGCATACTGATTGCAGTAAAAGTTCTCTCTCTACGTAGCTGATAGTTCCATTCCAATCCAACAAAAGTTCAGCCAGAAAAAATATGGTATTCCTTACCTAATCAGACCACATTTCTCTGGCTCTTTTAAGCTACTCTACTGGGTTAGTCCAAAGCCAAACATCTCTTTCCATTCTTCTGATATTCAAGTCTAAACTAGCACCTACATTCTCAGGCCAGTAAAACATTTAAATAAGTATGCAGTTTTCAACATGTAAGGAATCCAATTGTGCTGGTTTGGGGCTCAATACATTTTCTTGCCCCATTCACCCATCTCTCCAAAACCTTCTCCAAGACCTTTTTCATGCATATTTCCCCATGATATACTCACTCCGCTCCAATCTACCCTGTAGCTATTTTATCACCTTCAAAAAGTCCTGAAGATTCTCCTCTACCATGCCCACTAGAAAAAGACTATAATTCAAGAAACACAAACATGGACAGGTACA